CGAGGTCATGTAATGAACAGTATAGATTAATGGGTAATAGTTCTATCACCATTTTGGTTGTCTATATATATGTATGTATAAAGTACACCCATGTTAGAAAAAACCGAGTACAAAGCCGACCACAACTTTCTCACATCAACAACACTGTAAATTATCTATCTCCATTATCATCTTTTGTTCTTGTTTATTGATTTTGATTTGGGTTTTTCTTTCTCTTGATTGAGCTTATTGGGTTTAGATTTATTTATATAGAGAGAGAAGATGAATCATCTGATTTTTCGATCCATTTTTGATACGATGAGTGGGAGGAGAATATGAAGAAGAGTTGATCCATTTCTGGGCTACATCGGAATTGATTTTAAGAAAGAAAAAAAATAAAAAATAAAAAAAAGGGATTTTGGAAGAAGGGTTTTGGATTTAGGAGGGAGAAGATAAATGGGTTGTTTTTCGCGCTTTGATTCAAGGGAAGATGAAAAACCCAATGTTCATAATGAAAGAGATCATCCCAATGAAAGCCTCCCAACAACTCTTTCCAACATATCTAGATTGTCTTCTGGTTAGTCTCCTCCCTCTCTCTCTCTCTTTGTGCATAGTTGTTTGATCTGGGCATATCGATTTTGTCAATAACTTTCATATTTGTTTTTTCATATTATTTTGGTTGATTTAATCTAATCAGATTGATGATGTTTTCTTTTTGTTTAGTTTGATATAGACCCAACAAAACTTAGTTGTAGTTCACTCCCTTCTTCTCCCCTCTTCTTCGTCCTTCCTCTCTCTCTTCTTCCCCTCTCCTCTGGTTTCTGTTATGTTTTTTTTTTTTTAAATTGAAATTTTCCCCAAAACGACGTCGTTTTGGGGGTGCCGCAGGGATGGCAGGAGGCTTGTGCGACCGAACATCCAGACTCCATTCTTACCATGACCAGAACAGCACACCTGAAAAGTACACCCAAATGAAAACAACAAAGGCTACCATTTTTTTTTCTTCTTGATAAGTAAGAAAGGTTACCATATTACAAATGTACAAAGCAATAAACCATTCAAATTGTATGATTTGCTGCTTTAGGAATGTCAGTCCAGTATGGATTAATAAAAAGCAAAAAATAATAATTTAAGAAAAGAGTTTCAAATAATAGCATTTAACAGCAACTGTACTCAATAACATGTATAACCAGACAACAAAAGCATGATCAAATTAATGCCCTAAACCTTATTATTAGCATCAAGTTTGAAGAAATAGAAACCAACCAGTTCATAATTACTTTGCTTAGCGATTCCCACCGCATTTGGATCAGCATTAATCCTTAAACCATAAGAGAAGTCCTTTATAGGACCAACATTAATCAGTGAATCTCTCACTGCAAATGAGAAAGTCTTCTGCATGGATCAAGAACGCATAACATTACTAGAAAATAAATAATAAGACGATAAACAATGTAACAAGCTGCTAGATTAAAGATAAAAGCCAAAATACAAACTCCCAAGAAGACAAATCAATTTCACTAGAAAGTAAATGTTGGTAAAGCTGCAAAAGATGAAAAATAAAGAAAGAATGACAGGTGCATGATGTGAATCCATGTTACAATAGCAACATAAAACACACCAAAATGACACGGACATACTAAAATAGCAAATTCTAATAAAGTAAGACTTGGGCACAGGAAGAGAGTGCAGAATTTAGGACATTTTTTTAAATGTATATGTATTTCATATAGACAAATCTATAATTTTTGTTGATTTGTTCAAATTTCTAAAACAAAATTTGCACAAAAAAAAAAAAAGGGGCTAGAAAGAAAAGCGGAAAACTTAACCTATATCACTTTAAATCAATGGGTTACAACTCTTTCCATTATTATAGATTTTTTGCTTACAGCTGCATTCTTTTCTATTTTATAAAATAAAATTAAAAAAAATTGTTCATTGCATGCTTGTCGTGCTTTGACTATGCATAAAACTTAAATTTTCTATTGAATTTAATCTGGATAATCCTGGGCCTCTGTCAAGGCTTAGTTTGGTTTGATTTAGTTATTTCGGGATCTTGGTATCATGTTTCCAGAATGCAGAGTATCTTGTCCGAAACAACATGGTTGCTCCTAATACAACTTCATGCCACACAAATTATAATTTCGAAAATCAAACCCATAAAACGAAAATCAAACCCATTTTCGACTTGAAGAATATCATAATTTCATAGAAATCAAACACTTCAACCAAACCCATTATCGAAATCAACACAAAATTAAACTAAAAAAATCATATAAACCCTAGATGAAGTGTGAGAAATGGGGAAATAGGGAAAGGGAGAAAGAGAGAGAGAGAGAGAAACAGAGAGAGAGGGAATGGCTCGACACAGAGAGAGAGACCCAGGTCGACAACAAGGGAGAGGACTGAACGCGACAGTGACAAACTTGTGATTTGCGACAGTGTTGGTGGTGATTTCGGCGATGGCGGTGGCGATGTGCGACAGTGGGGATGGACAGTGGCCAACGATAGTGGTAGTGACAGTCGGTGGTAAAAGGGAGAGGCAGAGGGAGAACTGCTGAAGAAAGAGAGAAGAGGCGCTGTTGTGGTTTGGAAACCAAAATATATACATTACACCATTGGCGACTAAAAGTCTTTAGTCGTTGAAAGTATTTCATAAATCCCTCCAAACTATTTAAAATATCTCCTTCCAATAATTTTAGTTCTTTGGCGACTAAAATTATTTTTCGTTGCTGAACATAAACTTTTGGCTACTAAAATTTTGATCGCCAAAGGTAAAAAATAATTTTTTATTTTCCAATCGGCGATTAAAGCGTTTTAGTAGCGAAATCTCTACATACGGTGACTAAAATTATTTTTCGTCGCTAAAAATAAACTTTTGGTGACTAAAAAACTTTTGGCGACTAAAATTTTAGTCGCCAAAGGTAAAAAATAATTTTTTATTTTCCAATTGGCGACTAAAGCGTTTTAGTAGCCAAATCTCTACCTACGGCGACTAAATTATTTTTTTTTTGGTCGCCAATTCTGGCATTTTTGGCAACTAAATTTTTTTTAATCGCCAATAAACAATATACCCCGACTAAAAAAAATTATTAGCTAAATATTTTACTTTTGCCGACTAAAAAAATTTTTAGTCGCTATTTCTACAACTTTTGACAATTAAATTTTTTTTAGTCGTCAATTCTAATCACCAAAGGTGTATTTTGTTGTAGTGATAAGATGATCTTTTTACGATGAACTAGAAATTTTAATGAGAAATTATGGAAGGGGTCTCAAAATCCAAATCACAAGTTCAAAAAAAAGAAACGGAAAAGACATCTTACCATGAGACTATTTTGATCGCTAGAGACATGAGAATTCATTTGGAAGACTTCAAAATTTCATGATCGCTAGAGACATGAGAATTCATTTGGAAGACTTCAAAATTTGATGAAGGGTAAAATAGTTATTTCATCATGACTATTCCAATTTTTTTAATTATTTATTTTACTTTCAAAAGCAGCAATCTACTGTTCAAGTCGAGTAATTTTTTCATGTTTAGCGGCTATGATCTTGGTGAAGCCTACCTCTTTTTAATTGATTATGACAGTAAAGCCTATCAATTTATATTTGACAAGTATACCGACAAATTCAACCACATAAAAAAAAAATTCAATCATACATATCAGAAAATGAGATTCTTATAAAAGAACCAGTTTTACTTAAATTACTCTATTTGGTCATGATTATTTGGCGGATTAGGTTAGATAAGATTATTAGTGGAGGATTGTTAGTGAAGAGATTGCTAATGCGTGGATTGTTAGTGAGGGAATTAAGTAAAAGTATGTTTGTTTTGATAATAATGTGGGAGACGATTAGTGATAGGATTGTTAAATTATTTTTATATAAAATAAATAAATAAATTATTTCTATATTAAACAAAACTAAAACAAATATTAAAACAAAGAAATGCACTTGGTTAAAAAAAAATTAATTAATTAATTAAAAAAATAAATTTATTATATAAAATATATTCAATTTCCTCACTATTTTCCTAATCTCACCTAAAATTTATCCAAGTTAATTCCCTTACAGAGGGGAATTACTAAGCCCCCTTCACTACTAATTTTGTGACATTTTATTGCATCCAAACAAGAGTTTAGCGAGTCCCACGAATTGATAATCCAATCCATCCCTCCCAAACTCCAAATCAAACATGGACATTATATTCTATTTGATTAATCTGTAATTAATTTGTTGCAAATGAGTCACAGTGTCACACAACCCAAGAAACATTTAAAATTATTTGGATAAATTTGAATCAGACTAAGCTCTCACGCCCAAATCTTATGTTAGATTTGGTCTGGCAATTAAGAGAACAAATCTATTCCGAAATTGGTGCTAATGTCATGCCCTTCACTGAAATTCTAATGCCTGGAAAGAAGAGACACCCCCATACCAACTCCCCATTATCATTTAATTATTCACCGTATAATATGTCATTCTCTTATTATATTCATATAGAATCTTACTGAAAATAATATAAAAACAACCAAGTAAGAATATCTTGAAAACACACCACACTACTCCAGTTCAAAATCTACAACAACTGAAGTACTTTTCTTTACTTCAGACAGAGAGTTCAGACTTCTGATCAGACAATGTAACATCACTTCAATCTCTCAACCCTTTTTTTTTTTTGGGTCTTAATTTGAGAAAAATACATTCCATGTGCAGCAAAGGTCCAAAGCAGTGAATGTTCCATTCTTGGTTAGAGAATAATGCTTAATTTGTAGGGCACATGCATACTCTTTTTATTATAATGCAAAGGGTTGTAATTATAACTCAATAAGTTTAAAATTATGATCTAATCATATTGTGCCGTAAGTTCTGATTTGATGTAATTATTGTTGAAAATCTGATCACCTCATGTCATAATAAATATCACATTATAATTGATGATGGTGTGCACTACATACAAACGAAGAAAATAAATATGAAATTTCATTAGTTTACCCACCAATAAAGAAACAAAGGAAGGATTTAAAGAAACAAGAAATTAAAGGAAAAGAAATTGAAATGATTCAGGGTGAATCAAGTCTCTCTCTCTTCAAACAAACTCAAAGGATTAAATTAAGATTTTGAGTCTGATCATCATAATTAAAGAGTACAAGAAAGTTCTATCATTTTCATCATCAAAAACATTAGAGATTTTCTAAGTAAACATCTACATGAGAGGGCTATTGAGAAGTCCATGCCAAGATGAACCACCACCAACACCAAGACCAACACCAAGTCCATTCCAGCTTTCTCTTCCTGAATCAACAAGATCACCCACCATGTTTCCATCTCCACCAATCTGCCATGGAAATCCCCACAAAACCCTATTCTCTCCCTCTCTCCCATTGCACAACTCTTGCTTCATTGTCGTCACCGTTACCGCTGTTGTTGTTGCACCACCACTCACATCTTCATATGGAATTCCCATTTCTTCACTTCCACTGCCATTCATTCCATTTTCCACTTGACCCATGTTTCCATTACTCATCCCATAATACATATTGTGAAACCCATTTGGGGCTTCAAGAAATCCACTCCTAAGTGCATCAAGAAAGGAAGGAGTTGTATGAGAGGAATGGACATTAGGGTTTCCAAGAACATCACAATGGGTATTTCCATGGCTTCCCAACATTGAAAAATCATGCTCATCAAACCCTAGCTGCCCAGTTGGGTGCTTTTGCAGCCTAGCAAATGCAAGGCTGAGATCATTAGAATCATAGCCCAAGGCTGGGAGATTTGATAGAGGGCTGGGATTGGTAGTGAGGCCTTGATCTTGGCTCCTCTTTGATGATGATGATGATGATGATCTCTTGTTCTTCCTGCAGCCTCCACCCACTGGAACATTTCTCAAAGTTCCCCCTTTGGTCCAGTACCTCCTGCATGACTTGCAGAAGTACCTTGGCTGAGTGAGGCTGTAGTTGTTGTAGTAACAAAACTTGGTGTTGGTAGAGTCACATCTAGGGCATTTCAGAGCTTGTTCTGGCTGAGGCCTTGGTTTCTTCTCTTGCTGTGCTTTTGTGCAACCCAACATACTTTCCAAGGTTTGAGTACCCATTTCCTGATGTGATCACACAAAAGGATCAATTAACCACCAGCATATACACATGAAGCAAGATAATAACTAATGTGTTATTCTATGTTGAATTAGTTCAGAAGTATTATACGATGAAAACTGATTAGAAATTTAGAGGTTGCCACCTGCATTACCACTACAAATAAATGCACATATTCAAATGTTAAATTTATTTGGATTATGGGGGGAAAATTAAAGTGATACTAGTTAGCAAAGATGATTTTAAATATCAGACAATACATTGGTACATATTGATTTTTATTGATACCAATATACACTCTCTTATATACCAGTGAAAATGAAAAGCACATGTGTGGTATAGATTGGTTCGCAATAGATAGATTCATAGTTGATATGACAAATTCACAATCAATAAGGCAAATTGCTATAGAGCTAATTAGATATCAAAGCATATATATTTTTACATCATATATATGAGATTAGTGTTTTTCCTCATTCTAGATATTGCAAGCAATTCAAAGATTTACATTCTTTTTCATAGAAGGACAATGCTAACCATACAAAAATTTTTGACTTCCAAGTAATATGGCTATAAATGAATCACATCCTTCTGTACAATTTTTTTTTGTATACAAATTCTGTTTGTATATTCCTTCATAGAAAGGGTATATTAGTGAAATTGCAATTCTAATTTTAGTAGGAGGGCAGGGAAAGAAGTGGCGAGAGGACAAATGCTATCTCTTATTCTCTTACTTTCTACCATTTTTATTGTCAAAGCAAACAACATAGCAAGAAACAGAGGGAACTTCTTTCAAAGAGGATTTTGATAGAAAGTGAAACCCTACAACCACCCCCATTGCAAGTTCAAACAAAACCATGATAGGAATGCTCTTTTGATTTGAAATTCTCACAAGAAATTCATGTATGGAATGCAATTTACCCCAAAAACACTCAATATTCAATACCCACTTCAACAAAAATAAAAACATAGATTCAATTAATGGCAAAGAGAACTCAAAAATCATCCCCTTTTCTGCTCCCTTTCTTTCACCTCTTTCTCTAATCCAAAGTAACAATCCCTCCAAGATGGATAAAGATTATATCCTTTTTTTTTTTTTTGGTAAATTAGACAAAGAACTCAAAATCACATAAAAGAAAGAAAAAAAAAAAAAAAAAAAAGGGGGAAAAAAAAAAAAAAAAAAAAAAAAAAAACCAAGAGCAAAGTAAAGTTGAGTGAAAAACAAAAGCAAAAAAAAAAAAACAAAAACAAAAAGTGTTAGTTGTGCTAATGATGGGAAGTTCTAATCCTACCTGGTGGTGTTGTGCACTTGAAGGATCCATCCATGCACAATCAGCAAGCCTTCCTGATACTGAAAGAAAGAGATGATATTGTTGAATAGAGAGAGAGGATTGATGAAGAAATGTATAGAGAGAGAGAGAGAGAGAGAGAGAGAGAGGGGGTAAGAGAGAGAAGAGCATGCAAAGTGAAGGAAAATGAGACTCTAGTTCTCTGTATTTAAATCAAGCAAAGCTCACATATGAGAGAGAGAAAGAGAGAGAGAGAGAGAGAGTTGCAATGATTACTGGGGGGTTGTACGGGAGATGGATGTAGGATGTGGGCTAGGCTTGCACGCAGAGAAAGCAATGAAGAGAGAGAATTGGAGGTGATGATCAGCTGAGCTGCAACGGATACGGATTCATATGCCAGTTTTGTGTGGGTCCCAACCGCGTGGGAATGCAAACTATACGTGGACCCCATCCCACCCTTCTATATTCTTCTTCCATCGCCAATAACTCGGCGACCGCTCCACCCTCACTCAAACTTGAGAAATACAAATAATAATAAGTCCTCGTTGGTAAATATTTTGAACACAAAAAATATAAAAGGTTAAAATATGTAATATAAGTCAATAACATGAAACGTCATATCTAAATTATAATTATTATATTTTTTTTATAAATTTAAAAAATTCAAAAATAAAAATTAAATGAGATTAAAAAAGTCAGATTAAAAAAGTCTTAACACAAAAAAAATGACTACCGTAACCAATGCCAAACGAAGCTTAATTCATTTTTTTATGTGATTTTTTTTCTTTTCTTGAGTAAAAATAATTTTTAATATTTATTTTCTAATGATAATTTGAGGTAATAGCATGTCGTTTGTATCATGTTAAAATAATAATAATTTCATGAAAATAATTTATAAACATATCTTTTAATGTTATTAATTGAATAATATTATGGATCATAGAAAAAATATCATCAAATGCATCATGAAATTTTTTCATCATTTGATTAGTGTATGATGTTTTATTACATGTGTAATCCAAATCTTTCATGATCATTTTCATGATATTTTTTTCATGATCTTTAATATTACTCTTATTAATATGCTATTATTTTTTTTGCTCTAATAATATTTTGGGACAATTATAAAAAAATAAAAAATAAAATCGGGATTTGAACCTTTTAACCAAATAAATTCTGAATTTTTAATTTTATCAATTTAAATTTAAATTTTTTGGTTTATTTTTAGGGTAATGCACCAATAAATCTCAAATTAATAACTTATACACTGTTTAGTCCTAAAAGTTTTCTTATACACTGAAAGGTCCCATTACAATGTTTCAAACATCAGATTAATGTTTCGAACATTAGATTTCGAACATCAGATTAATGTTTCAAACATTAGATTGATGTACAAATGGGACTAAATGGAGCATAAGAAAACTTTTAGGACTAAATGGTTCAACTTTTCAGAAACTAGGACTTATGGGTAAATTTTCCTTATTTTTAATCTAAACCATTAGCTTATTTTTATTAAATAAAATTGACTGAAAAATAATATTTTAGTTATTAAACTTAATGTAGATACACATAAAATGTCTAAAATATTAATTTTTATTGAGTTTAATGACACATTTTTATCTATTTCACATAATGAAAATTAAAAATTTAGAATTTATCTGGTTACACTGGTCAAACGCTGGGATTTTTTTTTTTTTTTTTTTGTAATGTCTTCTAATATTTATTGTTTTTATTAAAAAAATTCAAAAAAAAGTTTTGAACATGACCAATTCCTTGTAGGCATACCAATAAGCAACCCAAAAAAAATAAATAAAACACAACACAAATAATAAATCTACTCCAATAAAAGAGAAACAATAATGTATTTAAATTTATAAATCTAATCTAGGAAAACCAAAAATAGTGCATATAAATTTTTAGTTCAAATGACAACGCAAGTTTAAGTACCAGTATATATTCATCAATATAAAAGGCATATGATTCGATTAAGTAAATTTTTGTTAATATATTTAACAAAATTTTAGTGCACGTGATGACCCAATGATAGCTCTAAACATCATAGTAAAATTTTATTTTATTTTGGTATGTGCTTAATTGATGAGTCGTGTAGAATTTGTCAATCATTTTTACTTGCACAAAACCTATTTGGCATCCACAAAACCTATTTGGCATCCACATTTATCTTGTGTATAATGATATTATCATTACAACAAAACAATTTTTGCTATACATTTTAATGATAGCTATAATCAAATTCATAATTAGTCAAATAATTTATAACTAATGAACTTTTTTAAATTGGAGAGTAAGTTAGACTAAAAATGACACGTTTCTATTAGAATTGGTACGATGCTTTCAAAATAAAATGAGCTAATCGGACATGAAATTTTCGTTTCAATTTGGAAAGTTATCCACAAACAGGAAAAAAAAAAAAAAAAAGAGTAGTAAATCAAGTCAAATTAAGTGGTATCTTACTGAGAACTAAGTTAAGTCTAATAATTTTTTACATTTTCACATTTTGTTTAAAATTCATATTGCTTGTATTAATAATTTAACATTCATATTTCTATTTATTATTGACCAATCATTGAGTTGATGATTTATTAATGAAAGGGGCATTTGTTATGAAATTAGAAATCTCAATGGGTGAAATGTAATTTCTAGAATCACATGAGGTGATTCTTATTTTAAGAAAATATCTGGAGGTGTATTCATAATTTACCCTTATATGATATAATCCAAATGGTCCGGTTTGGTTCCAAGAAAAAAACAAACATAGCTATAAAATCATGGATTGAACTGTGAAGTACGGTTTCCCTATTTCAAAAATCAGAACCAAACTGTGAAGTGAGAAAACCAATCCAAACCGTGCGGTTTGGTTTAGACAAGACCGATTTATGATTTTTTTCGATTTTTATGCTCATTCCTACTTATAACACTTTGTGACTCAACTTACCACTTACTAGTTAGTAAGTAAAGTATCGACGAGTAGTAAGTAGAGCCTCATTAAATAGAAAATAAGGTTTAATTTAGTTATTGTTTGGATAGGAATTTTTTAGTTGACTTTTTCGAGTTAGAACTTTTTTTAGCTTAGGACTAAAAAATTCGTTTGGATTGACTTTTTTGACTTTTGTAAGATGTCTTGTTAATTTTTTAATTTTTTTTATTTTTTTATGATTAATTTAGCTAAAAAGCCAAAAAAACCTACTTGTCAAACAAGGACTTAGTTATGTGAACACGGGAATTTGAATTCAATATGAAAATCCAACTCAATTTGTCTTACAATTGAAAATGGCATTGCTTTGTATATTTACAAAAAAAATACCCAAGCTATGACTCAAGAAAAAGAAAATAATAGTAGATATTGTGAAAAAGAAATGACTCAATAATAGAGGTTTTTTTTTTTTTTTTTTGGATTTTCAAACCAACATTTGGTCATGACTCATGACCCCAAAAAGCTTTTTAAAATAAACAAATAAAAGAAAGGAGAAGAAAATCCCACATATGGTGAAACCCCATCTTGTTAGAGAGAGAGAGAAGGTTGTGGTGATGTAGACCAATGATGATGATGATGGGAATGGCAAGGAGGGAGGGGGACACAAAGAGTGGACAGAGGATGTGCACTTTACTAACATGCCCCCAAAGGGGCAAAGAACCCACCAAGCAAGTTTGTCCAAAGGGGCAAAGAACCCACCAAGCAAGTTTGTTGCTCTGCCTGTACTGCGCCTTTGGTCCCCTGTTGTAACATACTATACTAGTGTCTCAGTGGTCTTAATCACCACTCGATTGTATTACTATGTAGTCATAGTTACATATCCTAGACGTGTGCAATTTGTTGTTTTCTGCCCTAAATTTATGGACACGTTAAACACATTTTTTTATTATTATTTTAACATGAGGCTAAAAAATCTTATTTGTAATAAATTTTTTAATTTTTGTTAGAAAAAAAATAAAATAATATTACTTTAAATATAATATTTTATGTTTTTATGATTAAAATAGCCAAAAAAATTTATACCAAACATAACCATTGTTTGCATCTAAAAAAATGCAGTGATTCACCAGGTCGGATCCTCTATTCAAAAAATATTTATTTGGTAAAGTTTTTCGAATTAATAAAAAAAAAACTAATTAGAAATTAGTTTAGTGAAAAAATAAAAAATACTCATTATTTTTAGATATTTTCTCTTTATTTGACATAACTAGTTTTTTATTTTAAAAATTGGTGTTTAATTTTTTAAAAATAATTTCTCATTTTTCAAAAATAATTTAAAAACCAAACTTTGAAAACTCAACAAACAAAGCATAACATCGTGTTTTCTTGTGCCAGACATTGTATTATGTGATATTAGAAAGTACACACTATGTACCTGAATGAACTTTGAGATAAAAGAATTTTAGAATTGAGAATCCCTTAATCATATGTTGTTATATGCTATGCACAAGACTTTATTTGGTTATTCAATTTTCAAAAATAATTTTCAATTTTCAATTCATATTTTTTTTATTTTTAGTGAACTTTTAAATATTTTAATCAATGTTTGTTAACTTTTTAGATCCATTTAATCTAAATACACTTAAAAAGTATAAAAATTATGAAAAAATGTTTTAAAAAAATTCACTAAATACTACAATATACAAACATATATATATATATAAAGTCAAATATTTTCGTATTTTTTTTTATATTTTTTGAATTTTTTAAAGATTTATTTATAAATATTTTACCTTTTAAATATATCTAAACTAGATGTATCTAAAATATAAAAATAAAATTGTTCAAAATATTTAAAAAATTTACTAAAAATAAAAAAAATTATTTCTTATTTTAAATATATAGTTTTTATTTGGTTATAAGGTTTGAAAATAATTTTTGAATTGAGTTTTGAGTTATGTGTTTGGTTACGATTTGAGTGTGAAATTGTGTTTTGAGTTTAAAATATAAAAATTAAAAAAAATTAAAATATTTAAAAAATAAAATAAAATATTTAAAAAATTTTAAATAAAAATCATATATTTAAAATAAAAAAATAATTTTTTAATATTTTAAAAAAATAAATCCAAAAATACTGTTCAAACACTGTTTGTTTCTTCCAAACCTGTCCTCCAATAAAAAAAACATTTTTTAATATTTTAAAGCAAGGGCAATAAGGTAATTTACTATAAAAAAAAGTAACACCGTTTGGAATAATTTGACGGAAGGGGAGAATCTTAACATTGTCAGGTAAAGTAGGAAAGATTACTGTAATTATTCAAATCATAAGGGAGATACCTATATTTGTCAGAAACTTCAGAGGA